GTGTGCGTGCGTGCCCAAGATCCCGAGAGGAGAATGGAGGAGAAGGGATTGCGGCGTGACCATCCCCCCTGGGGGGGGATTTCTCGCTTTCTGTCTCTATGTCTCTCTCTGTCTGTCTGGCGAGCGCACGCGCCCTACAGTGAAAATCTCTCAAAAAAAAAAATCGTTAAAAAGGAGAACGGGGGAGAAGAGATTGTGGCATGGCCATCCTCCCCTGTAGGAGGAGTGTGTGTGTGTGTGGGGGGGGGGTGATTTCTTGCTTTGTCTCTTTGTCTCTCAGTCTGCAGCAAGCGCATGCAACCTTTAGCAAATTAAAAAAAGAAAGAAAGAAATTTGTCTTTGTATGGTTCTGGAGCCTAGAAGTCCAAGATCCAGGTATCAGCAAAGTTTGTTTCTCAAAGGCCTCTCAGCTTGGCTTATAGGTGGCCATCTTCTGCCGCTATCCTCACCAGGCTTCCTTTTGTGTGTGTCTGTCTCCTAAAATCCTTTTCTGGCTTAGAAACCAGAGTGCTCACCATTATGCCATGGAACCACTGGCCTAACCTCCTTTTTTTATAAGGACACCAGTCATATTAGATTTGAGCCTATGCTAATGATCTCAATTTAACTTCTTTTCCTCTTTAAAGATATTATTTCCAAATAACAGTCACATCCTAAAGTACTGAGGGTTAGGACTTTAGTATGTGAATTTCACAGGGATAAGTCAGCCCATAATACTAAGAAAAAAGAATGGGTTTTGGGAAGACAGTGTCTCTGAGAAGTTTGCGTGGTTTAAAGACCAGTATACCATTTTTTGTAAAATACTTCTTGACCACTCGTTATTTGTAAAACTTAATAAGATTAGGAAGAAAAAGAGGACTATGGAAAGAGGACAGAGGAGAAAGCACCAAGAATCTATCTCCCCAGCTAGACTACAAACACACAGCCAGAATCTGATGTGGTTCTTTTGGAACTCTGAAGTTTATTGAAGGCTTGTAACTTCCCTGGGAAAGCTCTCACAGTAAATTATAGTCAGTTTGGGTCAATTTCACCCTTAGAGCTGCTACCTCTCCCTTCCCCCTGGACTCAGAGCAGGGAGCTGCACAGGTGTTCCTGGAGCAGCTTACACACAGTAAGCAAAAGCTAGAGTAATCAATTAGGCCCCAGTCCTCCAAATATGGAAGCTCTGTGTTCTAATCATTGACTGCTGCTTCTAATCAGGAAGGTGCAGACATGGCCCAGCAACTCTTGTTTCACCTCTCCCCCTTGTTGTTGCAAGTCCCTCCTTCTCTAGCTGAAAGTACTTCAAGGGGCTTCAAAGGGCCAGTGCCCTTTTTTTTCTTACGATCCCTTTCATTTTTCTCTCCCCCCCCCCTTTTTGGGAGCCAGACATTAAAGACTAGGACATTCAGATGCAATGGCATAAAAAGGGGTCACTCTCAGAAGTGGAGAAAAGTTCTACCTGGCTTGAATCCCTAGATGACCAGCCTTCAATACCAGCCTCAGATCTTTCTCTGAGGCTCTGCTCAGGGAGGAAAATGCTCAACCCAGCAATTTGGCAAAGAGCAGGGACTAGATCTGCCACATCAGGGAGTTTAAACAGTATTCAACCCAGCCTCAAAGCCCACCCCAAGGACCTTCATAGACCTGAAGGCAAATCTCACTTTGCATTTCTACTGAGCAAAGCAATGGTCTTATCTATCCTGATCAGTGATCTATCTAATCTCAGGCCCTGCTCTGCAACTGTGCCCAACTACTGAACATAAATGGCAGTTCCACCTGGCCAGGAACCCTGTGGATGAGCCCAATCTAAAGTAATTATAATGCCCATCCAGGTGTTAAGTCTGATTACAGAGCTCAGAGATCTCACTGAGCCCAACCAGCTACCCCAGTTGAATTCAGAAAAAGGCATTAGCATAGCCATCTAGAAAACCTGGAAGTAAGCCAAGCCTTCCCAGGGTTGTTTCCAGCTTGCCCTATCACAGGTTAGAATAAATAGTAAAGATAAATCTCTGCCAAAGAACACTTGCAATAAGCCAGAAAAGGGGATTATCTCCTCAAGCATGCAGACACCAACGCAAGGATACAAGGGTTACAAAGATTCAGGAAACTATGACACCTTCAAAAGAAATTAACGAAGGTCCAAAAGGAGACCCTAAAGGAAGGGAGATCTATGAGATGACAGAGAAGAAATTCAGAATAATACTCTTAAAGAGGTTCAGTAAAGTACAAGAGTACAAGAATATACAGATTAAAAAATTAAATGAAATTTGTAAAATAATGCACAAAAACAAGACATTTGACAAAGAAATAAATACAGTTAAGAAAAATAAATAGAAGGCCCACCAGATGGTGTAATGGTTACATTACTGTACTCCCACGTAGTCACCTATGGTTTGAGTCCTGGACCTAGTGGCTTAAAACTCATGCTGGACACATGTGTATGCATGCCCAAAAGCCCCAGAGGAGAATGGAGAAGGGATTATGGTGTGGCCATTCCTCTTTGGGGGTGATTTCTCACTTTCTGTCTCTTTGTCTCGATCTGTCTCTCCTGTAATAGCACATGCCATAATAGCAAAAATCTTCTTTAAAAATTTAAATAAATAAATAAATAGAAATCCTAGAAATGATGAATAGAATGACAGATATGATCAGGCTGATAGTCAACAAGCTCAAAGATAGAACATTTAAAATTATCTAAACAGAGGAGAAAAAAATAATTGTAAAAGCCTGTGGGAATTTTAGGATACCATCAAGAGATCTCATATAGGAAGAAAGAGAAAAAGGACCAGAAAGCATATTGAAGAAATAATATCCAAAAATGCCCCAAACCTAGGGAAAG